CGCGTCCTCGATCATCGTCAAAATAGAGCATGCTAAAGCCTTGCCTCCTGTAGCCACTTTGTTTATTTCTATCATATTTAGACGTTTGCGATGCCGTCAAGGACCACTGCAACACAAAGGTCCAGAAAATCAAATTTTTAGAAAAAGTGCACGAAACTCTTGACGTGCCTCAATTTATAAAATGATACAGATTGGTGACAGCATTGGAAATAAAAGGTCGTTTGAAACCAGGTGTTATCAGTTAAATTGAATGAAAAAGGTTCAAGGTGCCCAAGAAAGTGTTCTAAGTATATGCAAAGAATGTGCGAAGTGTTATCAGCGCAGTGCTGTTTATGAAGATAATTTGGAAGGACTGATGGGTTAGTATCTAAGCAACTGCGCCCCTCCCCCTCCCCTAACCCAAAAAATGGATAATAAAATTAATGTTGTCAATGCTAAAGTTAATGTTGGTTAGGGGAGGGGTAGGCGTGTAGTTGCTAAGATACTAACATGATCCAAAAGAATGAGGATGTCGATCGGTTTGGACTTTTCTGATTAGTTACCAGTCCTTTCCAGGAGTTGAAAGATTAGTGACTGAAGACGTAATTTTCCGACGGGTGTTGCATTCACCGCTATTGACGTCAAACCCGTTCAACCTAACAAAAATTTGTCGATTGTCTAAGGGTGCCATTTGCGTATCATACGAAATCTCAAGGAAAGGTGCGATATCATGAGAACTAAAACAGCCTGGGTAGTGAAGAATTCAAGCTGCGATCTATTGACAATAGGCTCCGTATCAAAGTCAACATAAAGATTTATTGCTCATTATTGAGTGTTTACATAATTTGCATAGTATTCAATTCTACCAAGAGCGTTTTCTGAAGTGTCTGACGGAACATAACTTGTCCAATCGTGTTCGGAAACAAGATGATAAGTTATCACCCTTTGCATATGAAAGACCGTAAAAGTAAATGAATTTCACAAGTCTCCTAATTCCAATATCTCAGTGTTATCAGACCATCATATAACATCATTTGTTTACATATCGAGGCGTCTATAAGACTAAATATTTTCATAGTGTTGACAACTCAATTTCGACTTTAACTTCGTTTCCTCTGGTTACGATAGTAAAGAACAGAATTATCAGAAAGCCTGTAGTTTGCTCTCCAGGGAGTTTGTTATTTATGGCGCTAAATTACTAACGATTACAAGTTTGATGGTCAATTAGGTGGACTTAAAGGCGATAGAATTCAACGCGTTTCAAAGGGTCAACATGGCATGTCACATAAAAGCTCTCAAGTATTCCCAGGTGATATTGTTTCTCAGTTGACAATCACTCCATTTCGCTCGCAAGTCGAATCATCTTAATAAAACAAATGCCCCATTTTATCATTCAGCGTTTGCCATGATGGCAGGTATGAAGACCTCGTAGCTAATTTCTCCTTTTGAGCTGACATGGCCTGACGACAAAGCATCGAATTCTTCATCTGTGAGTTTCTCGCCCAACGAAGTCAGAACATGACGTAACATACTGGACGAAATACTACCGCTTCCCTCCCGATCGAAGTGTTTGAAACAATCCACAACTTGTTCAGGACTCACACTTGATACACTTGTCATGTGCTGCGCAACGGAGTTGTAAATCGGCAAGAATTCTTCGAAAGAAACCGTCGACTTGCCAACATCTCTTTCCACTTTCTGGACTTCGCTCTGTGTGGGATTCAACCCTGTCGCTCGCAAAACCTGACCGAGTTGATTCACGTCAATTTTGTCCCCTCCTGTAGTGTCATACAGTTGGAAGATATCTTTAAGCATTCCTTCGTCCTTTAACACTGGTTTTTTGCTCATTTTGACACCGCCCGAAAAACTCTGACGCTCCTTTAGTGACGATCGGAGTTAAGAATGCCGTTTGAAGCTTACGTTAATTAGTAGCGATTCACGTGACTTGATTCAAGTGTCTGGTATTCCTTATATTAAGCACTTTACTTAGGAAAGTCTGAACTATTCATGAATAAAAATTTTGTCACGATCAATTCGCGTGCCAGTCAACTTGTGTAACTCAACACTTACACAAGGCTGGTCACGCCATTTGAAGATCTCGTTGCGAAGGAACCAGTCATCTTTTATCCGGGGGGAAGGAGTGGGGGGATCACATGGTTTTCAGGGAGAGCGGAAGGAGACTAGTCGTCGCCAACAGAGTATAAATTTAAATTATTTAAAGTATTTAAATTTTTGTTATAAAATATAATCATAATTGATTGCCAACTACCAACTAACTACCAGTGAGGGGTCGGGATAAGAAGAGCCTGAGCGGGGAGGGGGGGGAGGGGGAATTAGGGGAATTAGGTAAATTTTATTGCGACACAGCAAAATCCTCCAACCCCCCTCCCCCAGACTAAAAACAATGGCCGGTCACTAAGATGTAAGAGAGACGGTAGACTCACATGGATCATGGATTAGATGGTTTTGGTTTTGATTAAATGCTTAGTTCCGGTATAATTTACTAAATATGTAAAGAACGCTAATTAATGCATTTAATTAAAATTATTGCCCAGAGTCCACAAATGAAAGATCAGACAACGGCGTTTCAATTATAAGGCTCGACTAACAGCCGCAATTCGTAAGATAAGCCAGTGCCCCTTCCCAGAGCTGCATCCGAGATAACGGCGGAAATAAACGAACAACTCCAGTTCGTGTTCTCGAGTCCAGCCCTGGATCCTCTCTTCCAAAGGCAACAGGGCGCTTATCTCGATCAGCAGCTGATAACGCAACATAATGTGGCTCTTTTTTAGGTATTATTCCACTTTCCAGTAAATTGACATGAATGTTCCGCTCCTTTCGATGACACCACTTTATGTAGCTTCACTGTCTTCTCGCGCGTAGGTCGGTCGACGTTTTTGAGGAATCAGTCTTTCAATACTTTTCAGTTAGTTTGAAGGTAACTGAGCCTTAAATGCAAACTGCGCAAAGAATGACCCAGAAATTATCCCTTTCCTCTACATTTTTTTCTTTCTCTTCAGAATCGGTTTCACCCCTGTTTAAAGGGCTCGAGGCCCACTGTCAAGCGGCCTTGAACATACTTAGCTTCAGTGACCAGTGGGTAAATACTCCTTATAATATCAATGCACCACCGAGCAGAACAAAGGCGCTAAATGGTGTCAACCGTTAGCCGTAAGACTGCAAAATTAAATCAGCCGTTAGCGTAAAAATTGACAAATTTTAATCCTTGGCTCGAAAAAGAATTCAACTTATTTTTCAAGGTATTGGAAAGAAATTAACCGTTAGCCATGAAATGCCCAAAATTTTAACCGTTAGCAGGAGCAAGTAAAGCAGTGGGCTCCTGCCGTTAGCCGTAAGAGCCATCACCTCATTGACACCCTCAGATTAGTGATGACTGAATTACTAAAAAAAAAACTTTTCTAGAGGGAACTACAGCAGCAAAACGAATAGCCGTTGAGATCTTCCGTATCAGGAAGGGCTGAACCCCAGTGGTGCCTCTTGAGTTGAGGCCCTTCCCAGATTGTATTTTTTCTTGGATGGTTCTTAACTCGCGCAGTTCCTTTCTTCATCTGGTGTAGATGGAGAGAAGATAGCTACCAAAAAAAAATTTGTAAAATATACTGAAAGGTCACCTAGGATCCAAGAAAGGATAGAGCGTAAGCTGCAACAAGACGGGAAGTTAACTTTTGTATAGTTGAACAAATGACTGAGTTCTCAGCACGTTTTTTTTTTTTAAGACTGATAACTCAAAACCTCTCTACACGTTACTACTTTTCCGCCGTCAAAAAGAATCCATACAAGAGAAGATATGAAATAGTACTTTGTGGGAAGATCAAAACTCGAAGATATACACCTGAACCTCGTATACGTACGTTCTCCAAAGAGAAATCCACCGACATGGGAGATTTCGATGGTCGAATTTCCAACAAGGAAGATTTAAAAACAGAGAATTGGCCTCTTTTTGAGCCGAACAGTTCCTCAAAGCCGAAAAAAATAAGCCCGTCAGATGCACAGGTGTGTGAACCATTTCATCTCCACTCACTCGTCGCTATTTGTTGTCACTGAGTCGGATTGCAAAATAACAGAAAAACTTACTCATTTTCCAAAAAAATCTGAGCAGTTTTTCACCGATCCTTAACAGTTCTTAACTTTTTAAATCATAAACTGTCAAAACTGAACGAAAGTTAAGACCTGGTGCCAAATAAAATGTTCATAACAACATGTAAAATTTTACTTTGTATCATTTCACAAATAAACCTATTTATTTACATAGTTAAATTACAAATATTATAATCCTTCGCAATAAAAGCATTCTTATAACTTAAATAACCTCTTAATTCAAAATAATACCCACAGGTAATAGAGCGATTAAAAAAACTTTTAAATGATACTGTAACAGTTATTGGTGCTGAGAGTTACACAACAAAGAAAGAAACTTTCTTTGCTAAATACAAAAACAGATTTCAGCACAACACGAAATTTAAATCTTTGGCATGTTTACAGCGTAGTTTCATCACAAGAGAAAGAAAGTTCTAAAAAACTCTAAAATAACTCTATTACACCAATTTTTGCATGTAGCTTAAAAATCAGGTGCACGAGCAATAAAAATTGAACACGGATGTATGTCATTAGGAACCAGTCATAATATCGCCTGGGGAGAGAGAAGGTCGGAGAACTCTGGTGGAATCTTGCCTTGGAGAGGATCATGTAAATTTTTATTACAACACAACCAAACTCCCTAACCCCCCCCCTCTTCCTCGCGACGAATAATGACCAGCCCTTATATAGATTAGAAAGGATGCTTGAGCTTTCCTATCCTTACGTATCTGCTGGTGAGTTATGACAGTCAAAAGTCACCAGTTCAGTGGTCAGTAAGATTATTGCTCTTCTCTGAAGCGCGCTTTAAAATCTAACCCCCCTCCAGCCCCCAAAAATATCAGCTGGCCTCGTAAAAAGACAAAATCGTTTGTGACCAGGGTCCCCTGTCATGGGCACGCTCCAAGGCAAGCTATTTGTGCGCTCTACAAATTGGTTCCTAACTCGCGTAGAATCTCGGACAGAGATGGTCCAATGTCAGTATTATTATCGGGAAACACAACAGCATGACCCGCGTCTTCTTGTATCTCAGCCATTAAACACGCTTCTAGATCAAAATTGAGAAGATCAAAGAGACGCGAAGTTTGCTGCTCTAGAAAGCGCGATGCATCCAGTCCTACAAAGCCTGATGTATCCGAGTCAACCTCAGGTGATGTTCGGGTTTCTGATGTGGACTCCTCGTCCGAAGATGCGTCGCTATCAGGCATCATCTCAGGTAATGAATGCGCCTCGAGATCTGAATCAAGAAGTCCTTGACAACGAGCAGAATACGCTCTTCCATCCTTATCGCTGATTGCTACTGTCCAATGTTCGTTCGAATATGCATATGATTTGTAAGCGCTATAGAAATCCTTCACCATCACTTCCTCAAAAACGCACTCCTCACTGTCTGCGTCCTGTTAGAATATAGATAATGATGAAATTAAAATGGTTTATTTGTATTTATTCACCTATTTATTCATTTATTAGCGATATATAAACAGATTGGCCCAGTTCAGCTTCAAAGCTGGTTCACATGGGGGCCTGGATAAACAACAAGGAGGCCAGACCACAACACCGGGAGCCACGTTCTTTACTCTTTGCAAGAAGTGTATGGGTTTTCTAATGTTCTAAGTTATTTTCATAAGAGATCTACGTTTTATATCTAGACTCACCGTGGCGCGAAGAGTTCCAGAATCATCGATTGTAAGAAAGAACTCGGTTTCTACTCCTGCGATTTTCACTAAGCCGGCTCCCACAGCATATTTCTACGATTGCTGTCAAATGGAAGAAAACACGTTAGTTAGGAACTCTGTCATCTAATTTATCTCAATTAACTTAGAGAAAAGGTAACATAACATGGAATTGACCTCTGTAGCTGATTGGATTGTACATGCTATGGAAAATATTAGATTTGATAATGAAGTCCAAGAGCCGCGAGTTTAAAGATGAGCAGGCGAGTTAAATGTAAGTTAGGATCCTCGCTCTTCTAAAGACCGAGACAGCGACTAAGAACGAATCAGGTCACAAGCACAAGAAAAGTTGTAATTAAGGGACCATTCATTATTTATCGTCGATGGGAGAGGATATGGTCAGAGAATAGGAGGGAGAATCATATTGGTTCTAAAGGGGAACGGAGGGAGGATTAGTCGTCGTCAACAGAGTCTGAAGAGAAGACTAAAGAAACTGACTGCCAACTAACTGCCAAAGCGGGAGGGTCAAAAGAATATCGCAGAGGCTTATGGGTAATCAGGTCAATGTCATCAAGACACAACCAAATCCCTCCTTCCCTAGCTCTCCCCTCAACTGATAAATAATGCCTGGTCGAGAAAAATCATCTGGTTAGGTAAGTGACCTTGGTCTGATGCAGACGAATTTTGACATCGCGGTAGTCTGACTGCGTTTCCGGCTTAAAATAAGCCTTACTAATATGTCCCAAAAGTTACTTGTCAACAGCTGTGATAGCAATGCTTAAGAGATACATTGATATAAACCATTATGAGCATTTTAAAGTACTGACAGTTTTAAAATGGTTTGCATCCGAGTACAGCAGTCGATCATGCAGCAAAATGTGTACATTGAGGGTAGTCCTAGAAAGCTTACTGTCGGTGTCAGTGATAGCCATATATTTCGACTATCTTAGCAACCATTCAATATTTAAATCGCCTGGGGTCGGGAGGAGGGGGATATTGGCTGTGTCACGGAGGGTTGTTCAATACACTTAAACCGCTACAATTCGTCAAAGGGCATGTACGGAGGGGTGTCACGATAACATTCAACTGATCCCCCCATAAGGCTTTGTAATATTTCCATGATCTCTCTTCATTGGCAGTTTATAGGAAGTAAATTTTCTATAGCAGCCCTCTCACTGCTCAGTTGGCGACGACTGATCCCCTCCTATATTCCCTCCAAAACCGCGTGATCCTCCTCAAAATCCTCCACCCCCCCCCCTCAGTAGTAATTCCCTCACCAAGAACGCTTTTTGTCAGTCAAATTTAATTACATTCGAATGAAAAAATTGTTGAGTGTTCCAATCTGTGGTGTTGTTGTTGGCTGCAGAACCTAAGCAGCTTTCGTCAAATGCAATCCATCTAATGTTGACATCCGCTCAGGTTGTCCAAACGTCAGTCTTCATTACAGAGAATAGTCCAATTCAAGGCTTCCCTCAACAATCGATCACGTACTTTTTTTTTTTATGGAGTAAACAAAGCTACAAAATGTAAACTTACCATAAGGGCAATCTTTCTGCTTTGTTCCTTTGACACTACCATCCGGTTGAATCGTTAAATAATAGCCACTGCGGAAAAGTAGCCTTCGCCTCCTGCCACATCTCCTTCCCATGAGAAATTCGCAGCAATCCTCAGCGTTTGTATTTCTAGCGTGCTTCTCCCTCCATTCCAACGGCGAGAGGGGTGGTGTCCTTTATTCCACTCTCTCTTGAGCAGCTCTTCCCAATCCGTGTGGCGAAAGGGATGTGCTTTGGTCCTCATCCGGTAATTTCCTCGTCTGGAACTTCTTGGGAATGGGTGAACAGGTATAGGCATCTGTCTTTTACTTCGCAAACGGTGTTGTCGTAAATACTTGTCATCCTGTGAGACTGCCGAGAGAAGAAGAAGATTAAAATATATTTTTTTTTTGCAACCTGTTCTATGCTACATATGTAAATCACCGCGAGCTGTCGAGGCTTGTAATGTAAAGCAGTCTAATTCCACGAAACCGCACAACTGGGCTATCAAGTTTCAGAGGTAATAATTTTCAGTGTTTCACGTCAATAGACAACCATTTCGAGCCGAGTAGGAATTTTGATCGATGACTGGCTTCTAATCCAAGATCTTCTTTCAATCAGGAGACCCAATCCCGCTGGCCTTTTTGAACAATAGCAAATCAAACGTGAGTTATCCTTCTGCTTAGAGAAAGCTCGTGGTTGTCGCACCAAGTCGTGGGTTCGCCACAACGCGGAATAAAGGAAGATTTTGCCGCCATCAACATAGCCAAAATTGCCGGTGGATTGTGAAAAAAAAAACCTATGTAAAGAAGGGCATTGGAGCATGTCTCACCACTTAACAAGCACCATACCAGCCAGTTATGCTTAGTTCGAAATAGTTCTTGCCGAATGCGCGAGGACTCCCAATGCCAGCCTTTTAAGCAAAGACCGGCAGGACAAACTCGTTTGCAAGCTGACTCAAATTAACCTGATCACTGCAATATTGTGTTTTTTCATAGTTTACCTTAAAATAGATATCCGAGTGTTTCTGACGTTTATAATGATTGTGTGAGACGAGAAGGTATTGTTTCAGGCCGTACTACTTGATGGACCATCATTGATAAAACACGCGCATTAATTTAAAGCTTACGATAATCTGGGGATACCACTGACTTTATGGAAAAGGATCTATCGAAATTCTCTTTAATAGCACGTTTTACCTACACTTTAAGCATGTTGCAAAGAAGCTCAAAAAAAGATCTGACTAAAAATAGGTAAAGCTCGACTGAGAATAGAAGAACATCAAAGTTAACCGTGTTTATCATATGCCATTCCGAGATTCAGAGGGACATAAGAATATTTGTTTGTGTGTAATCCTTCTGTGTTAAAACTTTAGCCACTATAACTAAAACTCAAGACGTGCTTATCAAACCGAAAGAACAAAAGGAAAAAATCCGGCTCGAGCCGATTTCGCTTCTTAGAGTTTGTGTCACGGAAACGTTACGATATTGTAAAGCATAAAACAAAATCCGAAAGATACGGCAATGCTAGCTACCGAACGAAATATAAATTGTTGATTGTAAAAACGAAGCTAGATTTCGCACATAAAGTATTAAGATATTATATTTATACTGAGGTTCACCATAGAATAATTATAAGTGATTAAAAAAAAAGACAATTTACCTTAGAGATCCACTAACGTTTCTCTTGTTATTCGGGGTTTTTTTTAAGTGAATGTTTTAGTCAATGTGGTTAAAATGTCTTTCTTACAACAGCAAATTGTGCAATTAACATTTTTCTGTGAATCTTTGCCTTTTGGTCAGAAACCACTCGTTATAATTTAAATACATGATTTCCCATGTCTCAAGCCTTGATACGTCAGTTAAAACAATTATTTATCACATACTTCAAGCCATCAATCATCAACTGTCTATGTTAAACGTTTTGAAACAAATTTCGATCTTTAAAAGCTTATTTCTGGTTGTTTTTACTTTGCAATTTTCGAATTCTACCCATCATCAAAGTGTTAGTGAGAGATGAGGACTTTGTCACATTTTAAAAACGCCCGCAAGAGATTTCGTGCGAAGGCGGGATGTTCTGTTTCGTCGAATCACCACTCGGCCGTTAAAAATGTGGCCTTGAACCTAAGGAATGGCCCACGCCAGACGCAATCAAAGCAGTATTCGTGAAAATTTTATGAATAAAGAGACTAATGGCGCCATTAGTAAGTGCTATTTTGTGTGTAAAGGGAAGAAATACTTCTATTCTAAATGCAAAAACAATTCTTGCCATCCTTGTAACTGTTAGTTCCGAGATAAGATCGAATTTCCGAGTGAAACGATATCTATATATATGAGAATGATGAGCACTTGTGAAAAATATTACTACAAGTGCATACAAGTACAAAGGCACGTACCAGCTTCAACCGAGTGTTACTAAACTCAAAGGCTATTGGAAGTAATAAGACAATCAATATTAGTATATGTCTACATTTGTCCGTTAAAATGACAGTTTTTCTAAATTTTTGACCTGTTTTAGAATTTGGACACTTTCTGGCAACGTAATATGAAAAAAAGTTGCGACGATGTTTGGGGTCGGAAGTGTTTTCGACAGAGGTAACATGCTTTGTGCATGTGCGGAAAAGATAGCACTTTTTGATCCCTAACGTGACGGAAACAAAGGATATAAAACGATTAGGACTATTTCAATGATGTTGAAGGGCGTCACAGGTATAACGAGTTGAAATCATTTTATTGGTATACGGATTTGAATCGAGGCAATTCTGTAAATCCAAATTATATTTATTGGTTGTACTCTATAAGTGGCTGACAAAAGAAACATTTATTCGTCAAACAGTTGACACTACATTGCAGTACATATAATTAGTGTTTGATAAATTGGATCACAATATTCAAAGTTTTAGACAAATGTCTTGTATGCACTTGTTAGTATAAGCAGTGTCAAAGTGACCCTTGTAGTGACAACTCGAGATAGTAAATTTTGTTTTAAGTCGTCCATCAACGAAAATTCCCGTTTCATTATTTGAAATTTTATTCGAAATAAATTGTATCAACTAAAAATGATTTATAAGGCTTTGAAGACCGAGGAGGAGGCCGCCTCTTAAGTTGGCAGTTGGTAACCTTCTTAACAGTAAAGAAAAAAATCACTCTTCACGAACAAGAAAAACACGTAGCAATCAATGCATTGATTAACCTAGCACAGGAAATTTCCCCTTGCAACAACAATGAACAAATATTTAATGATAAACCATAGATAGGAACAAAAAGTAGAGTACGTACATTCCTGTCTGTGATGTTCATTGCAAAATTCAATTCCATTTTCAAAAAGACCCTTTGTGCTCCCTCATCAAATATTAGCGATCGAGCAGATTTGGATGTTCAATATCAGCTTTAATTTTGGAGTTCATCGGATATTGCGGGAAAAGTTGATATCGGAAGCTAGTAAACGCACGCGATTTCCAAAGATCTTAAAGAGAAGTTTGCGGAGGAAAACAAAATGAAGCGTGTTTGTCTACTTTTGTCTGTTGTTTACTAGTTTTTGTTTTGTTTGGAGATCCTAGTTGGCTATGTTGTTTATCTTCATCGCTTTGATAATCCGTGCATGCTTTCTCTCAGTGCCAGAGCGGACGCCCATCCAGTGACCGGCCAAAGTTTTTAAACCTTTTAAAGCTAAATCCTTTCAGTTAAAAATTGCTAAAATAGGCTTATAGTGAAAAATGATATCCAACGTTCAGTTAATTAAACTCGGTGTTTTTTGCACGTGAGTTCCCTTACTTTCCGTGTAGACGTTCCTTGTGACGAGCAATACGGAACTACATGCAACTTGGAATTAAGGATCGAAGCCGTAAAAAAAAATTTGATTCCTTAAACTTAAGGAAGCCTTTCAGAGGGAACAATATACGTAAACAAGACTCGTTATGAATGGAGAAGATTGGCAAACGACGAACTTGTCTAAACTTTCCAAGATGCACATGTTTAGTAGCTCTTGTAGATCACGCTCCTCCGGTCCGAGTTCCTAGTATTTTTAATTTTTTTTCAACAGCAAAAAAAATTTTTCTTGCGACCGTGACCTGTTTACACTGAAGGATTTAGCACTCGATATTTATCGGACGTGACAGGTGAAGTCAACCGTGCGTGTGTCCAGCGTAAAAAGCATTTGTTATGCAAAGACACTGCGATTGTGTCAGTGGACGCCAGCATAAAATAGAAAATGATTTTGGATTAACCGTACGAATGGCCAAGGAAATTTAACAATAGAAAGGCAGAGAAGTCATTCTCTATCGATCAACGCTTGGCACAATTAATTCGTCAACCGCACATTAAAACTCTTCGATAGAACAACATTCAAGTGGGTTTGTCGGTTTTGTGTGCATTGACGTCGCTGATCCCTCTAATGTACTTTTGCTCAGTTTTTTTCAGTCTAGGATCGCACCCCATGAAGTTCTAGTTGTTACAGTCTTCCGGATTATAAGACTCAAGTGGAGAATCTGCTAACCGAAGCAACTTTAAACAAGATTTGCCTGTTTAAGAAGTCTTTACTAAATCATAGAATCCTTGTTGCGAGACATCACTGAGATGTTTCATAAAGTGACATATTTTAACACAATCCGGTTTATAGACAAACATGATAGTTTCGCCCTTTGCCACCTAAAATGAACGTTATGCTAAAGATTAACGCTAACATTCTCATTAGGGGCATAATATAAACGCTCTCTACGCGTTTGGCATTCTTATCTTAGAAGGTCGCGTTCGTCGATTTTCATGGTCTGCGCTAAACCTTTCCAATTCGTAATCTCTTTATCATGTGACCCCTTAAAATTGTTATTGTTATCTAATCGAAAAGTAACTCAACTGCTGTATTTACACTCCACTTGAAGGAATAGTTAGGAAGCAATAACGTAAATTTAAAGGTCAAAATACCTTAAAGATGTTCTCCAGTCAAGTTTTTCTCCGAAATCATAGCAATTTTAAACGACGATTGCATGAAGCGTTTTCGCCCCCTCTTTTGACCGGATATGACAAGGTAAACAGCACCGCGTAAATATTACATTGTGATGCTAATAAAAAGCGCAATGATATAGCGTTTATTTTTCTCCAACGACGCGTAAGGAAGATAGTTAGTTGCTGAGTATTGTTGGTAAACCACAACATATTTTACGGCCCACGAGCCATTGTTCTGAAGGACAATATCGCGAGGCTTAAACTGGCCCGAGGGGTTTGTAAAATACGACGCCGTACAGACTCCATACGAGGGACCTTTTGTTAGCATTCTCTCCGAACCTTATCTCCTTTATCTTATCTTTCTTTTAAAAGGACAATGAAATTTCTAGACTTATCAATTGGTAGTTTAATACGTTCGAAATCACGCCTTTCAGTCATGTACACGATGAACTATGGCGATACCTGCCCAGCGTATAACTTTGAATAGCACAAAGTGTCACACTAAGGCATCGCGTTAGACTCACCTCTTTTAAATGGTGGGTATACTTGAAATAGTTCCTTCAACAACCGTAGAATCTCTTGAAGTGGAATTATTCTCAGTTGACACCAGATTTAGTTTGCAACAGACCAGGGAATCACCACGTTTAGTTGGAGTTTAAATTTTTTTGTCTCAAAAGGTGCTCATAAATAAGGTTGTTGACAGATGTCTGTTGAAATGAGTCGCCTTATGAACTGTCAACGCTTCATGTCAAAGACGTTATTGTGATGCCCTAAAAACTACTGTCTTTTGTTGCGGCAAATTATTTCAATTAGCACGTGTCATTTGGTGCAAGAGAGCAGATCGAATATCGTTGTTTGAAAGCCTTGAACTAATAAAAATCTTATTGTTTTGGTTTTCCATGATTTGTTTTCAGGCCAGTAACTTACTTATCTCGTTGCTTACCACAGAAGCGAAGAATGTGATGGTAGTCGTGATAACACGAAAAGGAAAAAAAATACAATCTGCGAGATGGCGTGGAATATATTTCGAACCGGAGGTGTTGTCAACCGCGGGCAAATATTTGCCCTCTCATGTAATATCAGGAAAAAGTTAGTGACGGTTTCCGTGCACTAACTTTCGCGCACAGTTTTACAACTGTACATGCGTACTACTTGGCAGAATTTGTCGGCAGTTCTAGGCCGCAGGGGTCTAACACATCCAAATGAACCTTATGAAACGCGGCAATATTTGGCCTTTGGAGTATTTTACGCCAGAGTAATGGCGATCTGTCACGGTCACATGACTTAATAAGGTTCTTTCGATGTGCAGCGCAGTTTTTCTTGAGATCAAAGCTTGGAAAACTCAAACGAAGCAAATTGAACATGTCTAAGCACATTCAAAACAACAGCTTGAATCATCAGAAGCGAGGCAGAAAATGATCTAGGAAAATCAATCCGTCCAAAATATGGAGACTGTATACTTTATCTAACCTTGGCCCCCAGAAAATATAATAGTAAATCCGATATATGTATATAAGTGTTTCGATATTTTATGGCTGTTTGTACATGTATCCTTGGCAAAAATGTGTTGTATATTTAACATAATTAGCAAGTTTAAATTAAATAAAGTCTGCGCTAATTTTTTTGTTATGAAGTACAAACTACTGACGCATTTCCTGGGTGTTGTGAATTAGGTTGAACAATAAACATCGGGGGAAATTTTTTGAAACATTTCCTCAAGAAACGTAGTTACTTGTGACAAAATCTCAATTATGGAACGGTGGCAATACAAAAATAGTAGAACAATAAACAATACTAAAGTGACGATATACTATAAGATATTAAGGGCTAAATTCATCGAGTTCAAATCTATTCCAGCGACACGAACCATCCGGAATCTGCTCAGACATAATAAACGAGATAAAATCGAAACAAATTACATAAGCCCGACATCTCAATTTTTTTCGGCAATGGCTCTTACCGTAATTCAATTTGATGAGTATTCTCTTCATCTCACAGAACAAATATAACTAACCAATACTCACCTTTATAAGTAGGGTCAATGGGTTTCTATGGCTCTGAATCGAATATGGCGAACTTGCCGGTAAACTCGTGATGCAACACGTTCTATTACTCCAAAGAACTGGCTTAAAACCACGTTTTCGCTAATTTTCCTGCTGAAGCAAGCACTTCAGGTCTGTCAATGAATAATTTCCTGCGTGTTTACGAGGGCAGGTGTTAAGTTACGATCTCTATTTCCTTTCTCAGTGACGAGGTGTTTATTCAGGGATTCGCGTCTGAAGATTAAAACACAAAAATTTCCGTCACATTTGCTGACACCTTGGAGATAAAAAAGGGGAAAAAACCGCTAAGTGTCTCCTCTACTTGACAGCTCTAGTTGATAAGACGTCAAAAATTGGACGCCATAAAAAATAATAAATTGATCTTTAGGCAATATTCCAAAGTTCTAAAATATCCATGCATGAATCCCATGACTTTGTAGGTCAGCTGAATCACACGGGGCACATTTGCGTGTAGCTCGTTGATCAGTGACCACCGCCGCTTCCGGTCATAGTCCAAAAACCCACTCAAAATAGTTATGCTGATTTAATGAAAATTTGAACGTTTTTGTAATCCAATTCTTTAAGATATGTTCGACGTAAAGTTACAAAATAAACAAAAATAAAACATCATGTAAAGTTAATGGAATCTGAAAGCACTTGGGAAGTTCACTCGATTCTTATTTTTTTTTCCTTTTGTCGAGGAGTAAGGAAAGGGGTTAGATTTGATTAGCACACGTCTCGCAGGTAAGCAAGCGTTTTTCCAGCTATTTGGCATTTGTTCAAGTTACAGCTATGGTAATCAAACTAAGGGTAAAGAGCTATTCAAGTGACTCTCTACCGGCTCAAGAGGTAAAAAAAAAAAAAAAAAAAAAAAAAAAAAAAAAGATTCCAAATGTCTTCTAATCCATAACTCTTACTCGAACCTGGCAGATGCACACCACTCGTTTGGGAGTTTTTTATATTTTATCAAAATAACACCTTTTAGCTGACAATTGAAAGTTTTAAATTCTCATTACCTGTTTGCTGGACAACCCATTTATTATGTTGAGAGAATTTACATTGCAATCAGATTTGGGAGTAAACATGAGATACCCTTGAACTTCCAGGTCTGACCTCAGCCAACTAATAATCTTGTTTTAGTCGTAGATAATATTTCTCCAGGCTTGAACAAGTCAACAACTAACTTGTTTCATGATGCGCTTTGACTAATTTCCATATTCTATAATAATACCACGTGAATAATTTCGATTTCCATCGATCGACATTTTCGCTTCAACCGAATCTCCGATTAAGCCTCGTGAATATTGGTTCGGATCGCTTCAATAATCGCACATGGTGTGTTTCCAAGCACTTAATGGTTTTTGTACATACATATATATACATATATATATATATATATAGTAAACAATGTTGCTTTCACTTTTATACTTTTAAATTGTAGCGGTAATTGATCCGAGCGGCCTAACGGATACCTATACATCCTATTTCTACCGTTTATGGGGCCAGGAGTAAACGAAAAACGGTTCCAATTCTCGGCACCGACATAATAACAAATGAAAACCTTCAAATATGATAAAAAATATTGTTGCATTATCTTACCTTAAGATAGGAAATCGTTGAGACTTCAGACGATCAGCACAGACAATTTCGTCTCTTCTAGGTCCCTCTATGAAAAACTGTGCCCACGCAAACGGAAGTACCAGAATTTGCGGTTTTGCACCAGATCGTCTACCTAAGTGCTACTGAAGAAATGAAATTTCATACTCTGATCATGCTTACCTCTTCTATCGTTCTTAAGTTTCTCTCGGTTACTTTAGATGTCTCATGTATCCGACAACGAGGTCTATCGGCCACAATGGTAATTTTATTTTAGATATGACACCGGACAACACCTCTTCAGATTGCAATGTGATATCATATCGGCCCCCTTATTTCACTCCCACGAGATCGAAAAACAAAAGAAATGAAGTCAAGCGCACATCCTCTTGAAATCTCCTGCCAAGCTTAGCTAGATACAGAAATTCAAATTTGCACTGTTGTATTCTAAAATTGTTTGGTCTGAGTAGCTACATTTCTTTGTTTCTGTTTGTTTGCCTGTTCCGTGTCTCCCACAGACCGGAAGAAAAACTGTTATGTTATTATGACATAATAAAAAAATCTGAAATCGCTCCTTTAATTCCCATGACCAAGCTGTAAGATCTTTCGCTGTATCAGTTTTATTTGTCAGAGAGCAGAGTTTAACGGGATTCTTCCGCTTTCATTACCTCCTAATCGATCGTGAAACCTGTTGCAGAGTGGGCGCGAATGAGGTCATCTATATATATTTACTGTTTGATCCTCTGTCATTCAAATAAAATAACCTTCTTGTAAAAAAAGATTAAAGTGATTTTCCGACGCATTTATTGAGGATTAAAGCTGAACGAAATCATGATAAATAAGGAGATGTGCATAAATAAGTTACATTTGTACGGATGTGGTCGTTGGCTCAGATGAAGTCAAGTGCTGGTGAGTTAAAACTTAATAGTGCAGCCCATCTCAGTATCTCAGTTAGAAGACAAGCACGCCACGTCATGAAAGCGTAATTCTAGTCGAGATGCATATGACTATGTCAAAGTTAAGGATAAACATGATATAAAAGAGGAGCTGGCGCGTAATGAAGGAATCGAACGCAAGCTAGCGCTATTTTTCCGATTTCCGTGATATCCTATGTTCCACCAGTCTCGCCGTATGGCTAGTAAATTTTCCGCCGGATATAGTGGCCCGCATGCCATAAATACAGGCAGCGTATTTTACTCACAAAAAAGTTTGTCTGATTTTCATCGGAAATATACTTAGGCGGAAGCTAGATAAGCCAGGTCTCAAGGGCGGATGGTTTATGATTGGTTACCAAATGTGGTATACAGGCTGATATAACCGAGGCAATGTTATGCAAATCAAAAAGCGCTATCTGTGGTCAGTTCAAATTTGATGTTTATCTTATTATGATATAGCTTTAATTCGTTAAAGGGAAATCTAATAAGTGCATCGGATCGAACCGCGTGACCTTGCTCTCGCACTCGTGCAAGTGATTTGCTTGAATGCATACCCCTCTGAAACATGATTTTTAACGAGGGGGTTGGGAGGGGACACACCAGAGTCCTCTTATATTTCGGTGGTGAATGATGGGAATCAAGTCTTGTAATGTCTTCACAAATTGTTTAGCAAGTATTGTGGTTAGCGAAATTATTTGCCCTTCAACAAGTACCCAGCTATGCAATATCAAGAATCGGTCATGGGCAGAAAGGACACTGCCGAAATTGTAAATGTTCGAAGAAAGAGAAGCGTCGAGAGTTAATGTCGTAAACCGGAGGAGAATGTTTTGCCTCTGCTATGACGTCTAGTCTCGGATAAGGAGGATAAATCGTAGATTCTGTGCATGTCTCTTGCATCTTCTCTGTACTGGTCAGCAGGGGACGTTATAGAGTCTATAATCTTGTTGCAAAGAGAGTGGCACGCAGCTCCTGGAGTTGCGGCCAGGCCTTGTTATTGTGAATATAAGCGCCCATTTGAAACAGTTTTAAGCTGTACTGGGCCGAGTGGGCCACCTATCTAAATATCGAAAATAGATCAATGAATAGATAAAGTGAAGTTTTCAAGATTCACAAACCATAGGAAACGAAGTCATCAAGGGCAGACGACGGTTAGACGTCCCAAAATGCCTTTTGAAGGGCTCACTGGCACACGAGGTCCGGTGCTCTTCAACATGACATAACCAACTTGGCCCAGCTTTTCAGTAATTTGTAGCCTTATTTAATTACCTCTCAACAAAACCATCCCTTCATTTTTCTTCTATAAATTTTCCCAACCTCTTCTCTGTTTTTCAATCAATTAACACTCGAGACCACCACGCTTCCTTTTGATAAAGATCATGCAATTCCGGCTCTAAATTTGCGGATAATTTTTCCACCCTTGGAGCAAATATTGACTCATTATATGATGACAGAGACTCTTTAAAATTACATTCCGGTTGCTTCAATACTCACAGACATTTCCGCGGTTTGAGAGCCTATCACTTTTCACCATCTGGCTAGAATTCGCTCTAGTGCTCTCAGAAAGGATCATGACATGAGGCATACACACCCTGGCGAAAATTCACCGCAACAGAATCAGAGATACTTATTTGAAAAGAAAGAATTATGTCTCTAATGGTTTCTGCTGTTAACGTATGAGGCTAGTTAGAAATGAATCTCCAGAATTTCCTTCCTGTAGGCAACCATAGGCAGGACATAAAAACGCACTATCAGAAGATGGAATTGTCCAAGTGAAATGCACAAAGAACGCCCTCTTTTACCCAAAAGATATTCAAACGACCAAGGTTATCTCAAGAGAATCGACCCCGGTACAACTTCTTCACAGAGCTACTGACGCAAGGTCAGCCACCTTTGTCTCGAATGCGCAAACATTCCGGGCAGTGTTTGTGATAAGGCTTCTTGGCCTCAATCTTGTCTCCTGGGTCGGTCTCTTCTGGTAGAGTGGCGAGTACTGTGATCTCGGTGCTGCTAGTACAGGATTGATCAAACTCCGGTTAGGTACTCGAAATAAATGTTCTTTTTCAACCCTTAAAGTAAAGGACCTAATTGATTGAATTACCCCAGCGCGTTAGGCGGATTGGCGAAAGGTGTCAGTGTTCGAGTGCTTCCTGTCTAAATTAATCTGTTTTGTTTTGATGAAGATACAAATTATTTCGCGGAATACAATTAAGAATAACGAACAATTTCAAATTAAGATAATTAGAACTAATTTCATAGAACCCTTCCACGTCTTTTTAGAATCAGTCTGATGGTGATCTCGTTACACCTAATGTAATTTCTGGGTCAAAGTTGGGTATGCAACGGTCAGAGCTGAACACAAAGATGCTTTAGCTTTTAGCTTGGAAGAATATAAAGCAACTTAAAAACACTCTTTTTTCTTTTAAAATCAAAAGGAAAAAAAAAGGTCCGTCTGGAATACCCTAAAAATGACAAAGGTTTGGGAAAGAAAGGTAGCTTAGCTAACCCCAGTCTTCTCTCATTTTAGCGAGAAGCGGAAAGTCCACAATGCACCACGATTCTCCATGGTCCTGTTCACCGCGTAAAACAAACACAATTCTGTTGTCAAACTGATTTCTAATCGCCAATCCTTGGATTACAGCTTTGCCATAACCGTGTGTTCAACATCAGATCAATGGTAGGTTATTTCAATTCTTCAGCTTCATCAACCCTCGCCCCCCTGTGATTTTCTTTCGAGGACAAAATTTGCAAACAAACGCTTGTTTGATGTGATATTGCACGAGTCTTGTGTGATCGTTTACGATCGTTAGGAGTGTAAACACCGGGAATTACAAAATTTGAACCAGAAAAGACTTTGTATAAACTTCATGTTAAGACACTGATCCGTTGCAAAGCCTTGCGCGTCGTTATAGTTTTACATCGTCTGGAGACTCCATAACTTAACTTTCACATCGTGAAATGCTCCGTTTGAAATGGAATTCTTGTGTTGCTGCCTAGAATAAGACGCGACGGTTAAACTTCTGTCTTGAATTTGTGTTTACTTTTATGCTTTTCGTCTTATGAAACTGGAAAGCTATTACCAGTCTTTTTCTCAAGGGAATGATCAATGGCGATTTTCCTGTCGTAAGTTGCAAGCTTGCCAGATTGTGTTCATGTACTGTGGTTTACCCCCATTAAGTTAAATTTCTGGATCGTGTTGCATCGAACATTTTCAATTCTTGTTTTAGCCTCATGTAAGTTTACTTGAGAACCTTCAACAGTCCTATGTTGCAATTTTTATTCCGTTTAGTACTAAAATTCCACTATCTGAGTATTTTTTTCGCAACGGGCAGTCTTACATCCAGGGGCTGGCTGCTTTATTGTACATTGTTCATGATCTTGTTTTAAAACGTGATCATTCATCCTCAGATCACTTACGTTAAGTTTTTTCCAGTTAGGAGTTGGGTTATACATCCTGGATATGTTTAAGTTTACAGTGATAATATATAAGTAGAACCTCTCTTTGGTGCAAAAATTATGTATGGTTATTTGTCCATGAACATTATCTGTGTCAAGATATAAACAGTTTACCAAGAGCAAAGCTTGAAGAAAGCTATGAGCTTTGAGGAACAAATAATGTCCAAGGACAAATGTTTGTACATATTTTCAGGCAAAACAGAGGCTATTGTGTTTATTATCCTTCAAATGTTTTGAAGGTATGTTTATGAACAGCTTACTGTATGCAGTGTTTGATGTTTTCTTTTGTGTGTTTTCTGGTATGACTCAATAAACAGAAAAAGATTTCCCTTCTTCTGTAACAACCATAAAACCCTCAAAGAGCTATCCTAGTGGACATGCATGTAAGGTTTGAAAATTGGAGAATATCACTAGGGTGATTTGCTCAGATATCACCCAGTGTTAGCTGGGGGATATTTGTTCACATGCTGTGTTTAGACCAATCGCACAGGAGCAAAAATATTTGATGGATCATAAAAAGTTGTATACAGTTATGAGAAAACAGCAGTCAGACATCAGGCACATGCAAAGGAATCATTTTTGGCTCCCTGCATGCCAACCTCAAGTGCTACATTTAAAAAAAAATACATGACAAATGACTGCTGTTTAGGGAAATATGTGAAAAATGATTGAAATATTCATAGAAATCTTGATAAAGAAAACTGAGCACTTTCCAAACACAAAGCTTATTCAAGTACAGGTATCCTGTTGATTACCATTCTGTTTTGAGCTTAACCAAAAAAGTTACATTTTACTAAAACAATGTCAACTAATGGCTTGAGTGGTTGGTTGTTTGTTACTTGTGAAAGAGAACTTGATCCTGACAGCCTAAAAGCATGCTATCACCAGGTAGTCATAGCTATGTTCACTCTTGCTCAGAACATTTGATTGCTCTGTTGGTGATGAGAACTTTCCATATACAGGGTGTATGTGTATGTACCTGGATGAATAGGCTTAATAACTTTCTTTTCATTCTACAGGCAGCATCATACAGAAAAGGGGCTCTCTCGACAGGGCAGAGGAAGAAAACAGGTTGGTTTGAACCTTATAAGAAATTTTATGTATTACTAAATGAATTTTGCCTGTAGCCAACAGACAACAAAGCCACCCAATTACGAAAAAAAAAGATTGTGAGGGGTATTTATATTCAGGGCGTGAAATTAATTTTTTTACTAGTAGCCACTTGGCTCCTAAATTTTTCAAAGTGGTAGTCAATTAAAAAAAAGTTAGTCACCATTTTTAAAGACAAATAAAACCCTTTTTTCACGCTGTTAGCATTCTAGATAGACCCTCCAAAATTAAGTTAGGAAAAAGATCTTTAACATGCTACAAATTGGACACTAGGATGTTCAATTTAATTCACTTTATCTCTAAGTAAGGTTATGATGAAGCATTCTAGTCGCCAATTTGGCGACTAATTTTCAGGATTTGGTCGCCAAAGTGAAAAATTTAGTCGCATTGGCGCCTATATTGGGCACAACTTCACGCCCTGATACTTATAACTTACCCATTGATTTTTGCATGACTATTGGCTATTTTACATCATGAGGGGCAAAATTACTGGGCAGTTATCACATGATAACCCCTGTCGTTGCTGATATATGTCCTCTGATAATTTCTGTGGATAAGAAACAAAGCCAGCCAAACCATCCTTCACCTTTATACTTGTTGGTTTCTATCAGAAATATCACTTGCTCCTAGCTCTTAATCGTTCAATTTTTTCCTGTGTAAATACCATATGGACAGACTTTCCATGAAGTATTTGGTATACACTTATTTTCCCTAATATCAACTGAAGATAATCTGGTTTTATTAATTGAGATGACATCATGAATTGGCCACCATAAAGAGTTTCTAAAGCTGATTTTTCAAGCATTAGCCCTTCGTCAGTTGATTGATTGCTAAATAAATGTGCCTGTTTAATTCAGGTCCAAAGCCAGAATTAACAGAAGAGCAGAAACAAGAGATTAGAGAAGCATTTGATTTGTTTGACACTGATGGATCTGGGACGATTGATGCAAAAGAGCTGAAGGTAAACGGTATTTAGTGTTTCTACAGAAAAGTTCTGCTAGAACCTATAGTATGTTCTTGGGTCTTGTTCCAATTTTTTAACATATTACTTTAAATTGCTTAAAACAGAACAAAACTAACCAAACTAGTTTAAAAGGAAGCAATTGCTTTTAAACACTCAGATACTGCAAGTGTTTGTTTTTTGATTTGTAATGTTGTTGTAGGTTGCCATGAGAGCACTGGGTTTTGAACCAAAAAAAGAGGAAATCAAGAAAATGATATCCGACATTGACAAAGATGGATCAGGTATGATAACAATTTAAAACATTCTCATTACTGACATAATAACTTACTGTTTAACTTACAGGTATGTTGCAGGTGTGTATTGTAATGGTTCCTAAAGACTTAACAATTAATATTAGCTTTAACATACGGCGATAGTTTCAAAATGAGTTTCCTCAATTTTCACATGTGCTGGTGCCATTTATATCCTTGAGTCTTAAGCTGAACAAGCTCTACCTGAAGCTATACTAAAATGATCTTTTTCATTCTCTTTCTTTAGGAACTATTGATTTTAATGAGTTTCTCCAAATGATGACAGCAAAAATGGTGAGCTTAACACACATTACTTTTTGAACAACATTTAAAAAGAGTAAACCATGGACAGTGAGTTTTTGTTTCCCTCTCTTTATTTTGTGCTGCTGCATATTCTGTGAAAGACGGAAGATTTTTTTTTCATATGGACTGTACATTGATGAATACTGACTTTGTCAACATTATCAATGATACTACATACAATTTTTTTTCATACCAGATGCAAGTGCTGTAACTGTACAGTATTGTAACCTTTACAATACTGTAAATTTTTTTCTTTGTTGCCGATTTTTGTTATTTCCTTTCAGAGTGAAAAAGATTCTAAAGAAGAAATTCTTAAAGCATTCAAACTCTTTGATGACGATAACACGGTAAGCATAAAACACTTACATACTGTATAAATATGTTGGATACAAAGTATCCTTGGAGATATCAGGAGTTTGAAAGACTTCCAGTAGGGTTGGGGTCTCCTTCAAAATAAAAAGGGGTACATTGTCAGGCTAAGTTTTTTAGCTATCCAGGTCTTAGATGTTTTGTATTTTGTATAGCATATGCTGAATTTGACCAAATCTAAGAGAACTTTCTTAGCATTTTTTTTTTTTTTTTTTTTTTTTAACAGGGAAAAATTTCATTTAAAACCTTAAAAGAGTTGCTAAAGAACTTGGTGAAAATTTAACTGATGAAGAATTACAGGTAGGATTCTACTGTTTATGAGCATTGTTGCACCTCCCAGGAGCAGTCCATTGGATAAAACAAATCTGTAGGGTTAAAAAATATGTTTTTTTTGTACTTATGTATTAAGCAGGACAGCTCTGTTGGGCCATGACTTCTCTGAAAAGTGTTGGGGAGGTAGAGTAGTCACTTGTGAAGCTATAAATGCAAGAGAATGCAGGCGTTTACTTTGTGGAGCAGTGAACAGATCTTTTCAAACAATTTTAAAGCATATGAAGGCAAATTGAAAAACTTTTCACCAAACTTTTTCAGTGATTGGTAAGGCAAAGGTTGGGAGAAACCTAAATATTCCTTATGCTTACCCACCTCTCCTTTTCCTTCATGCTAGGAACAGCAGAACAAAATTTTTAAGGGGTTTCAGTTTCTAAAGAGGTCCAGTCAACACCCCTTTAACTCCCCTGAGTAACCAAGACAGAATTTCTCCTTACAATATCAAATACATTATCAAGCAGATAAGTGATGGGAATAAAGAAAAATATCAATTAGGTGATTATTAGTTGATTCATCACCAAATTCTCCACACAAACATATTGAGTATTATTTGGCAGACTGTAAAGAGAATTACTAATGAGATCTTGGCAGTGAAAGGGTTCATTTGTTTTTTCTGTTTTGCAGGAAATGATTGATGAGGCTGACAGAGATGGTGATGGGGAAATTAATGAAGCTGAATTCCTTCGTATTATGAAAAAGACAAGCTTGTATTAGACCTCAGTTCTGATGGCAGCAGATGTAAAAACAATGTTTTAAAGTGTACAGAATGTTGTCTTTCCATTCAAAGAAGTTTATCATCATCATCATCATCATCATCATATGACGCCAGTGATCTTATACATTAATTAATCAGCTAACCATTGCTCAAAAAATAATGCAGAATTTGTCAGTCTTAGTCACTTTATTTAACATTTACTATTTTTGATCAGCCCTTTGCAACAAAGTTTTCATTGATCACAATTTTAATTTATTACATTTAGAGGGAACTCTCAGTAGCTACTTAACACCAGTGATATGTACAGTTGTCCAAAAAAGATGACCAACGGCAGTAACAGCAGTGACATTTTAATCCTTCTGGTCAAGTCAGATCATCTTGAGGGAAAAACTAATTAAAATAAACTTGTTGAAAATCAATTACATCAGGATTGATCAAACTGGACCTTAGAAACTGTCTTTAACTCTTTAAATCCCAAGATCTGATTGTTAATTCTCCCCTCTAGCAGATACACATTTCCTGGTCAAATAGTAACAAGAATTTGGTGTTAGATCAAGATGACAACTTCTACCTGATCAGTTTGAGTATTCTCATTACCTGTTTGAAGGATAATGTGTGGATATTATATGAGACGTTACATGTTAATCACCTCTGGGGGTTAAAGGGTTAAGTCTCGGATACTTTGTTTCTAGAGTTTGGAAACTAGTCAATGGCTTGCCTTGCTTCCTACATCTCTGGCAAGAGCAAGGTTTTTTTTTTTTTTTGGATATAGCTTTTTCCGTACCCCCCTAAATCAGTCCATTTGTAGTTAACGAGATTATAAGATATGCACGATTTTTATGCCCTCTCTAAGATGTAAAAAATATATTTGGTTGATTTGGTATATAATCTCAAAAACAATTGTGACCAGGAATTTAAGTGTTTAATGTAGAGCTGTCAATTGTCTATGTGGTCAATGCATTACTGTGAGGCACAAGGCAAAAGCGCGCTTAAAAAAAAAACTCCCAAACATCGCAATTCTTTATTTTGTCTCATGCCCTCGTATTACACTTTGGGCTGTTTGTCACGCAAAACTCTTAAGATTCGGCTTTCTGAAGCTCGCTGACTTTCGAAACCAGTGTCCAATAAATTGGTATTGTTAATCGGTGTGTAACGATCGTTTGGTCTTGCACTTGTGCATGAAATGCCCTTTTTCCCTTTAAATGGAACCTTCATCTCAAGCTGTCCCAGTAAAGTCATAAAACAGCGCTGTACTAATTTGCTGGTTGGCAACAGAATGCGCTAGTCAAACGGTCCACGCCCCCCTCAGGAACCATAAGTTCTGTTTACTTTACAAATGATGCGACCAGTGATCACACAGCAGGGATTAAGGTGCTGATACACTGCTCTGAATAAGTAGCAGAAGCTATGGATTGTAAATTATATGCATGCAAAATTAGAAGAAATTGGACTTTTAGAGCCGTATTTGAAAGAAGTCCGATACTTTAGAAAATGAAATTTAAACACTTAATTAAGACACTTCCTTAAGTTTCACCAAACTCGTACTCAATGAGAGACATCTGCCACAGGGCACCTAAATATCACCTAAATTTTGCTGTCAGTGCTGACAGCAATGTTAAGCTTTGAAGAGAAGAGATCATGAACACAGGTTTTTCACGCAAAAAATTATATACCTATGATGGGACATACCACTATGTTGCCCGGTTTCTGATTAACCTCAGAATTCAATGCACAGGAGCACCATTCCATATTGTTTGTTTTTTTTTTAATTAATTGAAAGTTTGCTCATCATTCGAAAATAGTTTGCAGTTATTGTTTACATATATTCGGAAGCAATAATAGCCTACGGGCAGTCCTTGGCTTTTCAAGCCCTTCGGCACGACCGTTGCTTAGGGTTAGGGTTAGCCCTAAGCTTATTTTCGCGAATGCACTAGATCCCCGTCCGGCAAACCTCTCCCTGACCCGTCTCAAATCTTTTCGAGGCCGATAAACGCGCGTCCTGGAGCGCCATTGACGAGGGACTGGGGAAAGGTTAAGGCACTGAGTAAAGCTAAAACCATAAGGCAGAACAAGTGATCGCTCAAGTGGATGGATCACGCATTCTCTGTCCCACATCTAACGGCTTTAGTGGTTCTCCTGCGTTAGGCTCCCGCAAAGAAAGGACGCCATTGGTCCAGGTAGCGGAAGGAGTAAAACCTTTTCACTTCTAAGAGTGACCATCGAGAAATTTTTCCATACAGCATCATTTCATCTCCAAGCGGATAGTTGAATGGAAAAAAATCATAATAATGAGGATATTTTCGGGGCTAAAGAGGTAACAAATGTCTAACAGGAAGAGTTGGAAATTGTGTGAATTAGAGAAATGAAATGAAAGGATAAAAAATCAGATGTTAGCTTTAAAATAAGTATAAAACAAGTAGATTCACGCGGAATTGATATCAGATTTTTTTTCAAATTCCAGTAAATAAGTTATCCCACCATTCACTGCGGCACCTTAGGGCTAATTCAGAATATCTTTACACACGAGAACTTCCTGTTGTCTTCGCCATTTTTTCAACGTAAGTAAAGTTTTATTTTTTGTCGGTGTCGTTTCTGGTAATTTAAAGTTATCAAATAATGTTATTCAGAGCAGTTAAGCTGCTGGTTGTCCTGTGGCCGTTTTCGCAAGACCTTAATTAGCTACCCATGATTCCACCCTCGCCTGAAAACCGTATAAAAGTCCACCTGCAGAATCTGAACGTTTACTAGTTAAATCTCTGTCCGCTGGATTGTTCATGGCACTTGGAGCAAGCTTCAACGTGATAGGTAAACTTTTCTATGATTAAATTTGTGTTGTTTTTTTGGTTTAGCTCCCTCACTTAGACATGATGCGATCGATGAAAATCAATGCAATTCGAAGCATCAAAGTCGATTAATATTTACGTTTGAGGTGTTTTTCCTCATCGATGACTCGAGAGTGCCTAAAGCAACCTATATAGGTACGAAAAGAGTGATCTGATATCGATGTTTAATTTTTATAGATCTAAATTTTTGATTTATAAACAGTTTTTACTTCGATCGATCGAATGTCACAACAAGCGAAAGAAAGAATTCTATGTAGTCTCTATAAATTTGCAGCGTCTGTAATTAGTCTACAGCCTCACCTTAGCTTCATTTATTTTGCAAACTTTATCGACAGCTCACTCGTGCCTTCATTGTTGTAATCCTCCAGATTTCTTTTCAAAGTTCATTATGTATAGCGTACATGCACGATTAATCAATCTGGTCGAAACGAAGCTTAAGCACTTCGTGACGAGACGAAGCTTATGATTTTTCTACTATGCAAACGAAGGGTTGAATCTAAATCGACATTTTAAATTAAAGTTTTAGGGTGGCACCAGGTATTGTAGCGTTCTGTTTTGTTGTTGCCTGTCTCAGTTTGGGTCAGGCAAACAGGACTGGTGTCATGTGTATGTGTGTGTGTGTGTGTACAATTTTAGTGATAGGTAGGGGAGGGGAGCTATTTCGAAAAGGGTGGAGGGGTGGGTTGCAGTTGGGAAAGCAAATAATTCATCAAGCAGAAATACAAAAAAAATTTAATCAAACCACTGGTGTCCCAAGTTTACTGTGTGTGATATTGGGGTTAAGATTAAAATTTAAGCACGAGCTTGTGTCGTAAAAAAAAAAGAGAAAAATAGAAAAAAATTGAAGTACACTACAAGCAAGAAAACTGACATATTAAGATCTGTTTAGTCTTCTTACTTTTATTCCGTAGCCACCTTGTCACTTCTGGCCATTTTAATGCTCTTTTGTTGACTTTTCTTGTACCACATGTTGTGCACTATTTAAAATTAGGAAGACTGGTCACTTAAACCGGTCCCAGGCACCAACCCTTGCCACCCAAAGGCTGATAATTCCACAAAATTCAACCGATCTCTCTCAAATTAGCACCAGTGAGAGCAAATTGCAAATACCTACCCAAAAAGGTTTCCAAATTCTGCTGCATCGGCTCAAGAGACTCTGTTTTTAGGATCATAATGCGAAAGTACATCTGAACAAATACATGACTCTCTAGGGGATCAATAGGATGGTTGTTGCTTTTGCCCTATTGCAAAACAACACCATTTGGGAAGTTAGTGCATGTAATTCAATGGCATATGATTTGTCTTTGTTTCTTGGTCACTTATGAGAGTTAAAGGGTGAAAGCATTAACCTTTACCTTACTTTTGATTACAGTTCTTGTATTAGCCTCATCATGG